GATGGGAAGCTAGAGGCAGCGGCTTATGCAAGTAAGAGTTGTTTGTATTGCTTCTACTTTCAGAGGGTGGCTGGATGAGATGATGCTTCTTGAAAGTTATTCCACTAGGTCACTTAAACTGGCACTTCCCTGCAGAAGTTTTACTTTATCTTCTTTGGGATCTCTAGGATGTTGTGAGTCTGTGACTCTCTAAATCAGTTCGCAGAGCACAAGTTCTGCATACAGTAGCAAACTTCAACCTTGTGGCTGTGGCCAAACATCAAATAAGATGGTGGGAAGACCCAGAAAGGAGCTCCTTTTGAAAGGGAGGGACTAACTGAATTGGGTAAATAGTAGGAGCTCTTTGGAATGAGACGCCAGGACAGGGGGTCTGTGATATGGGTAATAGATGAAAATAACTCTTCTGTATCTTTCCAGTTAGCTAACAAAAAGATGGATTTTATTTATCAAAATGAACGGGTTACTCACTGGGTACACAAAGATTCTGAGCATTAAAAAAGAACAGATGGGGCAAATACTGGGTATAACAGATGAGCTGTTGCTGGAACATGAAGAGGTCTGAATGATCCTTTAAAAAAAAAAAGTGTGAATTAAGGGAATATGATTTATTTGCTGTGGAATAATTTGAAGACTTCCTGGAATGGATTGAGGAAAGTCTAGCTACAGGAAAACTCTTTTCCTCATCTGTAGTACGGCTGTCACTGTGGGACCGATAACACTATGGTCTGCTCCTTTCCACACCTTTCCTCTGAGCAAAATACTTATTCAACTTGGTGTTCTTCAGGGAGGACTTGACTGTCCTCTGAGGCTGTTTCAGAGATAGAAATCTTGAGTCATGCAGGTTGGTGTTACACCATCGCTGCTGTTACTCCCTCTGCTATTTAACAAACGAGGACCTTGGCAGCTGTCTCACAGCTGAAGAATTATTTAATAAATTTTTAAACTGCTGCCTTCTGAAACCTCAGTTGTTCCTCAGTTTTGCCCTTTCATCTTAAAAGTTAATGTCAGAATTCATATTCCTTGTGCTCTGTTAATATCTGATTTGCATGGCTGTGTAATGCACAGTGTTATTAAGGTATTTCTTGATGAAGATTCTTGAACGCTTCCTGTGCGTAGCTAACTTCATTCCATATGAATGAAAATGGTATAGGAAGCACCTGTCTGTCTTTCTAAGCTGGTCAACACATGAGTGTGCTTCAGATTTGCTTTCTACCCTTGGGCAGAATCTGTGCAATATACTTATTTTCCTTTTGTCTTAGTTAACTCTAAGCCCGAGTTCAAACTGGGAGCCTGGGAAATTAGTATAGGCTGGCTGCTTTAACACCAGAGATGGAAAGCAGAGAAATTGCTTCTAGTCCAATTCTAGTGGTGTTTTGGCTGTCCTTTGACTCTACCTGGGCTGTTGAAGGCTTCCTGCAGCCAGTGTGGTACTTTGGGTTAGGGCAGCCAGTTATTTGCCAGGCGCTTTTACATGCCTGAGATACCAGTTCTGTATTTGACACAAAAATGCAAAATGGCTTTTATTAGGTACTCTGATTTATTTTTTTTTTTATACATAGTTTCTGCATTCCTTATTCAGTTAAATATAGACAAGGAAATGTCCTGCTGATAAGTCTGCATAACCTCATTATTATTTTTCCCCAGAAACTAGACTGCTTTAGTGTCCTAGTTCCTATGTAGGTCTGAAATAGAGACATCGTCAATGCTACTTTATAGTAACTATTTCAGAAACTGCTACCACACTAATGTGGACCAAAAAAAGCACGATGTGAATCCATCGGTTGCTTGTGATGGAATATTCATGTGCCAGAGGATGATCTGGGTGGGGCCAGCCTTGATTTGGGTTTAAGAATTCCTAACTGCTTGCCTAACCCCGCTCACATGGCAGCTCCTGCCACCACTGGGGCTTTGGGGGCATTTGCTCCATTAATTGAAGTGCAGTTGTTCAGGTCTAGAGGTAAGGTGACTGAACATCTCAATGGAACAAGGGCTAAATAATTTCTGCGCCATCTAAATACTGCTTATAAGCTTGCTCTGACTACAAACCAATGACTATCGCAATACGAGTTTCTGTGCGGTCTGGTGTTGGCTGTAGATGGCTACTGGGTTTGGATCATGGAGGGAGGGGATGCTAAATGTTAAAGGGCTTCTCTATAAAGTAGTCGGGTAACAGTTTCCATTAGAGTGGGAGGATGGCAATGACTTCGTGTGAAAATTGTGAGCTGCTGGTTCAGTTTACGGACTGTAATCTACTGCTATCGAGCATTTGGAGTGAGGTTAAAAAGAGAGGTTTTCCTAAATGCCACTTACAGAAAGCTTTGGGTTCTTGATGGGTAAACCTTGCTATGCTGGTGTTGGTGCAGAACCAAATACGATACTACGAACATGAAGGACTTGTGACATCTGCAAAGTCTGATTCAGCCCAACCTGGCATGCCTGCTGTGAAGAACAGGAGTCAGATTTTCTTTTGGCATCTGGTGTGTTCACTCCAGCCTTTGCTTGCTTATTCCCTGAGTTATTGGATGTTCTGTAGCTATTTTCTGACTGTAGTCTTGATTCTTGCATTTCCTAGTAGCATCACGAAGCAGCTTGTTGAAAATTTTAAATATGGTTTTTCTTGCTTATGCTAAACGAAATTTTCAGAAAAGGATGAAATGTTCATAGCTCCGAATATTTTTTTTTTTTACATTGACTGACCTAAAAGCCATCATTTCACTTTCAAGTTGAAAGCAAGGGAGGACACAGTTGAAAAGATGGCTATTTAAGAGCCCATTTCTTCCTTCGAAGAGACTGGCCAATGCAAAGATAAAACTGCTAGAAGTGACTTACCTCCCTGGTTGAAACTCAGTAAAGGGTAATGCGATCAGTTGTGTGCAGATCTGTACGATGGTGCGTCTTGAAAATAGTCAAGAACTCTATCTGAAAGAAACTTTTTTAACAAGACTCTCGCTTAAGTATAAAGATGGCTTTTTTAATAACCGTAACTCATTCAACTGTGACCCTGCACAAAGGGTTAAGGGCTCCAAACCTTTCACCTCTAGATTTCCACTAAGTGGTAATTCTTCAGGGCCTTTATCTAAACCAACAAAAACTGCAGTTGCTGCTGGAAGTCTGATCTGGCTTGAAGTCTGACCTCTTATTGTTAAAGAAAAAAGAATAGATTTAACTGAATTAGTTTCCATAATATACTTGCATGCAATTACATAAACAACAATATCAGTGTAATACCATTGTTTATAAAGAATGTGAAATATTGCCTTATACAGGCTTGAGCCTGTAGGTATGTGTCAGTGACCGTATACTGCTGACGAAGAATTTCCTGTAGTTCAAGGAGTAGGAGCCTTTGTGTTTTTGGAACAAGAGGATCTGTGTTCTGCCGTCACCACGTAAGTCAGTCACCCTGGACTGCTGCACAGTGGCCACTCGGGTCAGGCCTTCATTAACCAACACATACAAATGCCCATTGTGTTTTCTTGTGAGTGTGTCTGCCTCTTTACATATGCAGTTTTGTATCTTCAGCTCTATTTCTATTTTTTTCCTAATGTGGCTTGGTGATTCTTGTCCAATATAGTGAGGATTGGCTGTAAAATGATGACTCACTTTACCTGAGCTCCTTCATATCCTTTTGTTTGGTTGGATTTGTTGTTGGAACTCTGAACTTGTGGCTTCCGTGTCCTCGTTCTCTACTAATTCTCAACAAGGCACTGCTGCATTGGCTTGCCGGACTCCTAAGACAGAGTAAATCTTTCATTAACAGGCAGAGTCTCTGCGGAGATTGTGCATCTACTAGTGAGTGTAATACAGATCAGCATCAAATTGCTATGTGCTTCCAAACATAGACCAGAATTAAAGGAAGTGGGGTGACCATAGTAGGAGTTGTAAGTATGCCAGTTTAGACACTAATGGCCCTTTATGGTTTTGGTTTTTACAGTCTGTACCAGACAATTTCTGCAAGTGGCTGAAACGTATGACTAGAGCTTTTGATATCTTTGCTGTTTTGGTAGCGTTGTGCATACAGAGCACTGACTAACACTGCTCTGAAAGAAAGTTTCAGAAACGCGCCTTTTGTCAATCAGAAGTGGTGGGTTTTGCTCCCTTAGACAGCTTTCTATAAATTCACATCAGTATTTGTTGGCTGTTGTTCCTAATAATAACTTCAAAAGTATGAAATGCAAGAAAATAAATAACTGTTCATGGGTGCCTTTGTTATGCCAACCTGAAAGCTTTAGCTGCAAAACAAATGAATTGGTTCAGGTACATTTTCTGTTTAGTGCCAGGAAGTTAAATTGAATGCTGCGATACAAATCAGGGAGGAAAAGATAAATGATGATTTTTTTCTACTTTGTTTCCAATTTATAGTTTTATATATAATGCGTACATGTGTACTTTTACTATATTTTTTCATGTAAGCATTATTAAAACTCCACCTTCCAGCACAAATCCCAGGGCTAGAGTAGGTTTGTTGGTATTAGCAAGGTTTGCTGAGGACATAAACATGCTACAGGACCCTATCAAAGGAATCAAAAGCATCACTGAAGCGTACATCAGAGATTATGTAAAATCCTAATCTCCATAGGGGAAGCTGGGTGGAGTCCAGCCCAAGAACTAAATTTGCTTGCGTCGTTTGTCTTTCTGCTGCTGAGGATATGTAATTAACTCACAGATCTGGGGCAAGGCAGAAATCTATGTGAGATTGTGTTTATGCTGGCCATGTACTGGTTTTTTTTCCCTCCTTTTTTTTTTTTTTAAGATTCTGATAAAACATCACATGAAATGTAATGTTCATGCAGTAAAACCCGATTTAGACGATGTAGCTGTTTGTTTCTGTACTGGTGTGGGGGTTTTGTAAACATCTGGGAATTATTGAGTGCTAAAGCAAATGTTTCTTATTGTGTTATGGCACAGGAGACATGCAGTTGTCAACATCAAACTCTGAGTAAACTTAAAAGGTCTCTTATTAAAATGTTTGTTTCTTTCTTTTTCCTCATGTCACTTCTCAGGTTGCAAAGGTGCTAAAGCATGGCTGACTTGGATCACAACCTCAGTCTTGCGGATGCTCTGACAGAGCCACCTCCCGAGATTGAGGAAGAAGTGAAAAGGGACTTCATTGCCACTCTGGAAGCAGAGAAATTTGATGATGTGGTTGGAGAAACAGTAGATAAAACAGACTATGTTCCTCTGCTTGATGATGATGATGCAAAAGCTGGGAGCCAGGAACCAAAAAGCAAACCCCATGCAGACGGTATTCAGGTGGAACGTAAGTGTCTAAAGCACAAGACCAAAAAGCTGCATCACTTAGGCATGAGAGAACACTTTCGCTTATTGTGATATTGCTAAAACAGGACTTTTCTATGTTGCTGGTTTTAGGCTGAACAATTTATTTTAAGAGCAAAGGTTGAGATCAAATCCTGTTTCTTGCTTTTCTACTCTACCTTCTGTTCAGTTCTTCAGCTTGTAAAATAAGCTATCATTACTAGTCCACAGAAGATGCTATTATTTATGTTAATATTTTGTGGGCTGCCTTGGGCTTCTCGGAGAAAGCGCTGTCCAAAGTGTGTGACTGCTACACTTATCATACACACAGTGCTTTCCATCTCAAAATATTAGAACTGTGCAAGATACCACCACTCTGGGTAATGGCAAATCCAAGGTGTAAAGATTGATGACTTGCTGTTACTGGTGAGGTCTGCAGGTCAGCATCTTCGTAAGGTCCACACTGTTTGTGAGCTTCAGACGCGAATGTTTAATAGCTAAAGCTTTGTTTCTCCCCTGATCCGAGGATCTACTTATTTTGATTTCTTGCTGCATGTATATCCTGGTTATGTGCATATATAGTAAAATGTGGTGCTGTCTCTGCTGGTTATGAACGTTTACTAGCCCAGTTGGTATTTATTAGTGTTAATAGCTTTATCAGAAACTACTTAGAAAAAAGGAGAGGTTTAAACAGATACTTGCTTCCCTAGCTGAGTAAAAAGGAAAACAGTGAGATTTGGGGGGTCATCTATTAGGTTTCTTTCTCAGTATGCAATTTAAATTCTTTGTATCTTTGCCTGTGTGGTGTTCTGCCCCCTCCCCCCCAGCTAAGTTTGGGTAGTCACCTGTGACAAGTACTGCCGTGATTAATTTTTTATTTTTTGGCCTTGATCTATGCTATGTAAAAGAAGAAAACATTTGCTCGTAGACAGGTAACCCGGTCACTTCTTTCAGAAGAAAGTTTTTGTTTTTTTCTTTTTTTGCCTTAATCTTGATGCTTATCAGCATTGATGAAAGTCGGGTATGTAGAAGAACTATAATGATCATCCATCAGAATAAACAGGGCCTCCAGGACTACAGAATGGGGAATTATACAATGGGGATTTCTGGTCTGTTTAAGGCACTTATTTGCATTGTTTAGAAGTGTATCAGGTGCCCTGTAATACAGAAAAAGTAATTTTGAATTTTCCATACTAACGTAGTTCATTAAATGGTAACAAACAAGTAGGAAGGATGGATGTGGGTAAAGAGATTATAAAACTTTGAGCTTTGGTCACTTCAGATGTGTATTATTGTATTCAATTATAGTTCCTCTAATGGTAGGTGTTTTATATTTTAGCATTGCAGAAGTGGCAGTAAGAGAGAAACATGAAGACTTGTTAACACTTCTGTGTGTGGTTTAAGGATACTTTAAAATAATGCTTTGTTCTAGAAGTTACAGATTCTAAAACATCTCAGCACCAGAATTTCTCAGTGTTAAAATCATGATATGATATATTAGTTTAAAATAGTTCCTTAAGTTGTGTCCTCCCAGATGTGTATCCCTTGAACATTACCATCGTAACTCACTATTTCAAATAACTTCAGGTTCTTGAAGCAGGTATAATGAGGCACTTGGGGTTTAGCTTAGTAATTAAAACTCGCTGAACTGCCCTGTGAGAAAACTGCTTGTTCCTGTGTGCAGAACTGAGGCAGAGATGTTGAGGTGCTAACACAGGTTACCTTTGGGCCAGACTCTTCTCCTCATCTGCATCTCTCAGCTCTTCTAATCCCCTTCCCCTCCCCAGTGCCTCCCCTGGCTGTACAACCAGTTGTTTGTCTGCTCAGGCAGAACTTGTTTCCCTCCTACATGGCGGAGGGAGGAGATGTAATTTCTTGTTCTTGGTTTGGAGATTTGTTTTTCCCTTTTTTGGGATAGCTGGAGAACAGTTATGAGCATTATCTAAATCTCTGGCAAGATGAAACCAAGACCCTAACTGAAGAAATTGGAGAGCTTGCTTGCCTTGAGTGTATAAGGTAATGTTTTTCAGCTTTCCCACCTTGTACCAGGAGGGGAAGGGCTATCAAGCTCCACAGTTTAAAACAGTGTCAATTTACTACAGGCCAGTCTTAGGACTTGATCCTGTTACGTCTCATCTGTTTTTCCCTGAAGTGATAAGGATACTTACTTCTCCTACGAGATTTCTTCAATGTTTGTAACTGTTTAAAAAAATACAGTAAAGCTTAATGTACTTGCTTTTATTGAGGCTATAGAATAAATAAGCCTGGGTGAGATATTGCGAGGTCCTAATGGGGGTGTTAGGTGTTGTTTTAGTGCAGTGCTTTGAGTATAATGTGAAGTTTTTGGGGAGGGGGGACTGCCGTGTGAAAGGCAGCAAGAGTTCTACATCCCTGGCTCCAAATATGGCTGCAAATAGCTTTGTTTTCCTGAGGGAGAAGAGTAGCTTTCGTGGATCAGGCTTTTCAGCCCCCGCTTGTTAATTTATTTATGTTAAAAGGCACGAATGTGTTCAGACAGCACGGTCTCTGCTACCCAGAGATTGCCTTTCCCCAGTCAGAAGAGGTTTAATCGTACGTCCCGTCAGGCTCTAGCTATTCCATCTCTGCTCAAGGTTTTTCTTTTACTTTTTTCCTAAACCCAGGAGCCAGATTAGACAAGTTTAATGATCAGATGGGCCCCCATCATGGACCTGGGTGAACCATGTGAGTAGAGAGATATGGAGGAGGGAGACTTGATGAGCAGTTGTCACCTACAAATTTGTCCTAAATAAAGCTCTAATAATAGTTAACTTTTAAAATATTATTGGAAAGGCATGGCTTAAGAAGAAAGGGGTTTACTCTTTCTAGCACCTGGCTGGACATCATAATTTGGCAAATTCTGGGCTAATCCTTTTACGACATTGTGGACTTTACATAACGCTGAAGGATTGCTTTGGGTGTGTGCTACAGTGTTTGCAGCTAGCTTTCCTTATCTAATTCCAAGGCTCCAAGGAATCCAATTAAAGTCATGGAGACTGTAGCGGCAGTTTTCGTTAGGGTGCTCATGTGACGTTAGGCATATGCGTCCTCAAGTGTGAAGGAAGAGATGTTTGGGTGGGAGCAAGTGCTGACCGAAAGGAAAATACTGTGCTTTTAACAGCTTGCAGCAGTGCTAATGTGAAATGTTTTAGTTCAAGTGAGGACTAATATTGTTTCTGAAATGTTTGATTGTGTTATTGTTGAGGAATTGTGTACAAAGCTAGGTCTGCGGCATAACTTCATGGCCTTGCACACAGTAAAAGCATGTTTTGCATTCTTTGTCTTAACTTTGTGTATGTTTTTTTAATAGGGCAACAAACACTAAGCATGATGTAAGTGACAAAGTTCTTTTAATTTGCTGTGGGCAGTGGCTTTGGGGCTTTTTTCAAGCACATGTGTCGCCACGAGATGGCTCTGCTGGCACTGCCTGATGCTGCTGGACAGATGCTGCTGCACAGCAGAGCAGGCCATCTTCCTCTGGTATGGAAACAAAACATGGCTCCAGAGCCTGAAACCCGAGGCCAAACCACAACATTTCCCTTTCCTTTTATCTCCCTTTCTGCACTAGGAATAAGTGCCTTTCTTGCAGAAGGCAGCAGGCTTTGCTTTTGCAAAAGAAAGTTTAAACACTTTGTCACGTATGAAACAGGATGAAGAATGTTCCATATACCCCAAAGTTTCAGAGGGATGAAAAAAGGTCAGCAAACAATGTTAAGATAGTTGCATTTTTCTGATATGATATATTAAACACCTTCTCCCTCTGAAAGTCTGTCCACCCCCGTTCCAACCCCAGAGTTGTTAAAACCTCTGGTTAGTACAAATCCCTATATTGTCTTTTTGTACGTAAACAAGTATTGAGCATGATCTGAGTGCACAAGGTCTTTAGTCTGCCCGTGTTCCTTGCAGCGGGTTTCTGACAGACACTTGCTAACCAAACATTAAAAACAGTTCGGAGACCCCCCAGATGATACCAAAGATGCACCCTGAGCTGTGTGTGTTTTGTATGCTCTGCCCCAGATTTCAGCTGCTTTTCCAGCATCTGGTGGCCCAGCCGCAGAAACTGCAGGTTCATTTCAGCACAGGGCCTTGTACCAGCAGTCTGTTGGGAGCGTATTTCAGTGTGAGGGTGGGTTTTTTGTGTTTTTTATTTAAAATGCAGATTGTATTGTAAAGCTACCCAGATCTTGGGTTGAGTTGCTTGACTATGTAATATATCCCTATTTTCTTAAGGAAGAGGGAGAGCCTTAAGTATTGTCTTGATAAGCCAAAGTGTTCTTGAAACTTTTTCTATGTAATAAAGTGGCGAAATTAATCTAGTTATTACAGTTCATAAAGCAAAAAAATATATTTTTTTTCCTAGCTCAGTTGCTTTACATTGATTTAGCTTCATTCGGGTAATATTTGTGCTCAATTAGTGAACTTCACTTGGGGTTCTCTAACATCTGGTCATCTTGGGTTCAATCCCATTACAGGCAGCCAGTGATCAGACAAAGTGATTAAACCTTCAAGCTTCACCTTCCTATTTCAGAAGGAGAGGCGTGAAGGTGGGATGGCAGGGAGAGGGATCTTAGTGGAAATTAGTATGGCAGGTCTCCTTTTCCTGCTCTTGGACGCCTGACCTGCCTGTGCAGCTGTGCTTTTGTTAGTGCCATCTGACAGTATGTGTGTGCTTCTGAAAGCCCTGGCATCCCCGAAACACAGAACCAAGCAAGCCTTGGGTTCCATTTAAATTCAAATTCTCTTTAATTCTCACAGTTAGAGGAGCTTGAGAATCCAAACCAAGCCTTTATGTCATATTGGAATGCCAAAGAGCAAGCAAAACTCTAAGCCTTTTTTTGGTGACTCTGGGAGATGATGAGCTTGACTGCTGTTCAGAAGCCATTTTGAGACAGAATATTTAAACATACAAACTGAAATAGCTTAAGCTACTTGTTTAAGAGTTACCAGCTAGTTTTGACTGTATGGCACTCTGTTTTTCAGAGTTTT